AGTTTATACGTAATGAGAGGGTGGTTTTTGCGATTCGCCCTCATTCGCAGCACTAGGCATGCGAGAAATATGTGTCCCTGCATGATCGTCCAGACAGCTCGATGTGAGCGTCAAGCGTGCGTTCTCACGATCGGTATGGAGGCGATAAGGATCGACGGTTATCGCCGCCATATGAATTCTCCGTCGAATCGTAATGGAACTCTTGGATGACTACGTCGTCTCACGCCTGGAATATGCGTCAATAACGTGTGCGTTTGTAATGTATGTACTCAGATTATGCGCGCGGATGTTAATCGCGTCGCCGCGGGGGAAAAGAAGTTACATAAATCGGTGCTGATCGCACCTGTCGGCTCCGGTGAAAAACCACCGCGCATTAATGCATGTTAATTGCGCTCGGGAAATGTACTCGGTATGAATTTTAATTCTACCGATATGGCCGTCGCGGGTGAGGGGATGCAAGCAGGGATGTAAGCGTCCCGATGATTCATGAATCTGGTGACCGGAGGGTAAACGCATGAATTATAAACCGGTTTTTCTTATCGCATTCGTTTACATATCGCAATTATATTGTGTGAATTATGAACGACAGTTGTGCCACATTCTCTCGTTTAATCGACTCTGAGAATCTCACTTAAACGTTAGTTAATATGAGTCAGCTAAGAAGTATTATAATATTTCAGAAAACTTGAATAGTAATTGCAATTATGTGTTTTAAGGGTTGAAATAATTTGTCTTGTTTTATTGCTTATGCTTAACTATAATTTATACAATTGTTTACATTTACGTTCAACTACAGTATTTCATAATTGCAGACAAATTCGAAAACTCGATGAATTAAAGAGAAATGTATATTGCGTGGCGCTACAGCAACCAAACTCTAAGCTTCCAAAGGAGTGCTTTCTTTAAAGGTTATTGAAGCAATTGCAAACTTCTTTGCAATCCATTCTACACATGAGCGTCGCACCATCTATTTTTCACGAGGGAACAAAGGAGTCTACATTCACGTATTGTGTAACGGGATTTGATTTCCGCGATATCTTTTGCGAGCAAAGTTCTAGACTCAATGCCAAAGTCTTCTAGACTCAATGCCAAAGTCTACTAGAAATAATGCTTATTTAGAGACAAAATTTGTTTTTTATAAAACATTATTACGATATAGTATTTATTCATATAATATAAAAGAAATACAAACTATATAATTTCTCTCGTATTACATTAATGAAATATTTTTGAAAGCTTTTTAATTATATTATTTTTAATTTAATTAGAAGAAATAATGGACTCAGATTTGACATGTACATTTCGATGAAATACTAGTACTACTAAGTATTTCATCGAAATATACATGTCAAATCTGAATCCATATATATATATATATATCTTTAGAATATATGCATATATTTAAAAATTTTAGTTTCTAAATAAAATTTATATTATTCTTGACACGAAATATGAACACGTTGTGTAATTCTTCAAGTTCTTAAACGCCACGATAGAGGATCGAACAAAATACGCCCTTGCGGACCATCGAATCGAGTTGCTGAGTATTTGAAGCAGGGGTAATAGGACACGTAATAACATCTGTAGGGTCACATAACGATCGACATGTCACATTGTCACTTTATGGATTCAACGACAGCCTCGTGGACTGAAATAAACGAGAACTGAATAAAGATGGGAAGCAAGGAAAAATGATATACACCTACGTCTTCTTAGAAACTAAAAAGTAGCTCGAAAAATCGAGCTCTTTCTAAAGAAGAAAGAAATAATAATGAGAATCTGAGTCGGTGTGGGCGATTACGATGGATAATTAACGTAGCGAAATAAAGCTTTCAGTAGCAAGAAAACAGTTCTAATGCAACAATTTTAATATAAAGAATAAACGTTTCGTAAAAGAGATGTATTGAACAAGATACTTGAAATATTAATATACTCAACAGTAAAAAATATCTTCCATGTTGCGTTTTTCGGAATTGCAGAAACGTCGTAATGGAGAAATGTTCTTTGTCGCTGAAAGTCTTCTATTGCGCTGAATGTCCAAATTGTCCAATGTTTAATTTATACTTCGGGTTTCGATTGCTATTCTTTCCACTCTCGACCTAAATTACAAAAATGTAATACACTGCAATAATTTGAATAGTGAGAAATACATTCTGATGTGAGAAAAATGCATTTATGAAATAAACACACATTATACATACATGAATGCAATTTTCATTCTTTTAATATTATTTCTATCCATGTACGTTCATTGTCGACAAAAATGTTTAAATAGAGACGGAAACTTTATTTTTCGCAAGTGACGGGATCACCGGAGCGCGACGGAATAAATGGAAGCGCGGAGATACGGCAAGACCGTGTGCAGACAAAACAATAAAAGTGGATAAGGAATAAATAAAATGGTCGAAAAAGGCGAGGGAAGAGAGAGAGAGAGAGAGAGAGAGAGAGAGAGAGAGAGAGAGAGAGAGAGAGAGAGAGAGAGAGAGAGAGAGAGAGAGAGAGAGAGAGAGAGAGAGAGAGACAAAGAATAGTGAAGAATTACAAACGAAGGAACAACTTGAATCGAGAGACAGAAAGGAAAAGGGAACGAGAGGGGGAGAAAGACAGACGGAAAGAAAATGTCGGGGAGAGTGGTGAACTATGCGGAAGATGAGAGCGAGAGAGGGTGCGAGAGTTTATAGGGGTTGAGGATAGCAAGCGGAAGAAGGGGAGAGGAGAGGGTGCTGCAGACGCGCCACGACAAGGGTAAATGTACGTACGAATGCACCCCGGATTGGCTTCGGGATGGTTTCCATGGAGACCAATTCGCTCAGCCCGGGGAAGTCGTTTCCACCGCCGCCGCCGCCACCATCGCTATCACCATCATCACCACCACCACCGCCGCCGCCACCACCGCCGCCGCCGTTACCGCCGTCATTGATGCAGCTTCTCTCGAAAAATCGCACCAATTTTAAACGTCAAAAAATTGGAAACGACTAGACTACTCATTATTTGCGGGGTCTAGCGAGCGGAGATTTGCGGTAAAAAAGTAAAATTATCAGTCAAGTCTTTTCGGATGTAAAATTAATTCAATTAAATTCCAATAAGTTACAGTTGCATTGATAGTTGTATTAATTTCAACGTCAATAACGAATCATATTACGTGTTTCGTGGTAAACGAATAACAAAATAACATACGAACATAGTTTTGCTTTTTATTTTTATTTTAATAAAAAATATTTTATGAGGACGTGATTCATTAAAATAATGTTTAAAAAAATGTATAGGAAAATGACATTCCTTTTTTATAATTATAAAATATTATGTATGTTATATTTTTGGAAAACATACATACTTATTAATAGATTCACCTTTTATATAATTTCCTCTAAAAAAATTTTAACATGTTAAATTGATAAAAAGGTAATAACACAAAGAGACATCTAGTTCGTTATTTTTCTCAAAATCAAGCGTATTTGTCTTATAATTAAACGCACGATTTTTCCAATTAAAAATATTACTTACAGTTAGAGGCATTAGCAAACTTTCTCTTTCATTTTTCTGTTTGACACATTTTATATCGTGTTTCATGCTAATAAATTCAAGAAAGTTGAAATGAAGTTGATGCTGACGTGGCGGTGAATGTAAAAATCAAGAATCTTCATAGCATATGGTGATGAGAAACTCGAGATGGAATTTACGGTGCCAACATCCTGACTCCGATAGTTTCATACTTAGTAAGACGCGACATCGCCGTTGCCTAGAATCCAGCGTAAGCGAAAATTCGTAATTTACATTGTCAGAGTATAATTCTTAGACAATCTAGAAAGTTGCTATCCTACAGCGATGTAGAACCACCGGGGATAAAAGTTTTTGTTTGGAAGAGCGTAAACTATATGCGAAATAAATCTGCAGGACAATTTTCTATACAAAGGCATGTCACAATATCAGATTCTCATATATAATTTTTATGAATAACAAAATATTTTATTTAACAGAATTTTTAATATTAGAATTTTTAATATTAGAATTTTTAATATTAGAATTTTTAATGATAAAGTAAAATTTGACGCACGTGATAACAGATAATTCAGGCTTCTGTTTTGATAAAAAATTAAATTTAAAAAAATTTATAAAAAGTGAGAATCAATTAAAAAACTTTTTTCGAACATTGTCACGCCAAGATTTTACGATGCTTTATCGAGCATAATTATTAATTCTTTAATACGTTGATATAATATAATGATAATGATACGTACAAGCAAATTGTTCCATATTATCGAACATTCGATGACTTGAACTCATCATGCGAAGTAGCGACGATGTATCATTTTTTTTCATTCAAAAAATAATTAACTTGACAAACAACAAACAGTCTCGCACTTAAACTATTCATCAACTATGAGATGTGCAGCTATCATCGTAACGATTCAAAAAAGTCGATTGCGTAATCCACATATTCGGCTAGATGCCGACGACTCGAAGTTCAATTTCAATCAGTCGGGTAATCATGTTGATGGATATTATTAGACGAGGCTTAACTCTCGGTCGATCGGAGAACACACCCTTTAACATAATCGGCGATGCGGAGCTAAAATGAGGATAGGCCACGCGCGGTTCCTCTTTGAGAATCTCCTTCCTCGAAGGAAGCGAGAGATACTTGCTCGAGATTGTAAACTTTCAAATCGAGATATCGGAGAACGGTTTATCGAAAACGTTTACGGAGAACGTATCGAGCGCCAAGAATACGAGAGAGAGAGAGAGAGAGAGAGAGAGAGAGACTGTTCAGTGTCGTGTCACCAGTCTATTAGTAGAAACTAAGTAGGTAATTAAAGAACTAACGCTCGTAGACGTTAAACCAAAA